AGAGTCTTCATCAGAAGGAAGGCAAGATTGAAAATAAGGGCCTAGGTACACTGACATGGGCTACAAGGATCACTGGCACCCTAAGGTTGAGTTCCATAGCTGTGTACAAACTGAAATATATAATATGAACAACTTGTTATAAATAAGTAGTCCTATAGGAAGTTCCACATGCCTTTAATGAAAGATAAAATTAAGATGGAAACTTTCACGTTCTGATGGATTTTCCTCCATTTTCACCCTTTCAGACATTGGTGAGGTATCTGAAAGTGATTTTAGACTTTCACCAAGTTCCTTTGTAATGCCAGGCTTTAGACCCCAAAAAAGTGGTTAAAACAAATGAGCCAGATTTTTATTTAACTGTTTCTGTAGACATTCCTGGAGTCCTGTTGGCATTTACTAAAGTTTTTGCAAACACAGAATTTTGTATGCGAGTGAGAGCGTGGTGCACAGCTGCATGTGGTGATCTGACTGTTCTCACATTTGTTTAAAGAGTCTTTATCCGAATAGATCTGATCGCTCCGCTTTAGTAGCAGGCCTGAATTTCAGAAATAAAGAAAAGATCTGTTACTTGTGGGGGGTTTAGCTCATCTGCACTATTTCTGCTATACCTTTGTATTACTGTGATTTCCAAAGGTAGGGATTTGTGAAGGATGCTTAGAACTCCTGAAGAGCAGATTAGTTTGTAAATATAATTCTTGAAATTGTTATTCTCTCTACCTTCATTTAACTTGGTCAGAGAATTAGGTAATATCTCATTAGGAAGGTTGAAAGGGAAATGATAGTCAGTGTTCCTAAATACATTTGTATTACAGAGCAGCAGGGAAGGAAGGTTAAATCTTGTAAAGATTTCTATTCTCTGACTGAACAATGAGTGCAGTGGCCCAGTGATGGGATTCTGTTGAATGACAGAGCTATTTTTGATAGGGCTATGGTAATTGTGTGGTAAAATAGCATTATGTTATTATATTTTAGGCCAGGCTGATAATTATTAGCAAAAATATTGCAAAATATGCAAAAACTCCATATCATTTAGTCTCATATTCTTTACCTGGGAAAAAAAACTAAGATTAATCATGGCCATTTAATAATTACAGGATTGAGCTGGAAAATGAGAATGCTTCTGGGTAGCAAAAGATATTTCAAGTTTAAAGTAAAAACTGTGGTGGCTGGATATTCTATTTCATTGAATTGCCACTGGCACTGATGAACTAGATGGTCCTTTTCTCTTCCTGAGTCCCTATGTCTCCATGCCAGACTATGGGAAAAGAGGACACAGCAAGACAATGTTCTTTTCTACTGGAAAGCAGGGTATTTTCAAATGAGAAGGTGGAACCAGGGACAAAAAAAGCAGCTGTTTTATTTTATATTTTATTAAAGTTATAACCACTTCACAATGGTCAAAGAGAGATGCAATTTTTGTTCTTTGCAGGGAAAGAAATTTGAAAGTGGGAGGGCAGGTTTCCTTCATGGAAAGGGAAAAAAAAAGCTGATAAAAATGAATCAGCCAACAGTTTCATTTCCTTAGTTTTCCAGCAATGCAAATGTTTTCACATAATTCTGTTAGTGATGCAGTGTCTAGACTTCTCAGATGGTTTTAAAAAGACACAAACAAACCCTGGAATTAATTCTGAGGATACAAAAAATCTAAGTCATTATCACTGTGCTGCAGCTCATGCAGTGATATGAGACCACAAATAATCACTGAAGATGAGGCTCTGGCACCCTTGCTCATTTAAGACACATGGGTTAGCATTTACTCAAGAAAGACATCCATTTAGTCTCCCTGGGGTATAAATTCTCACCAGCATATGTTGGTATGAAGCTTTTGCAATTTGGTGCTCACCTTGACTGAAAAGGTTTTGTGCTTTCTCAGGAGCATGGAGATTGAAAGAAATTAGGAAAATTATATTTCTTTCTTGCAACAGATACACATTTACATAAAAATTAAGCAAAACAACAAAAAGCAGCATTTGCACATTGATAAAAAGCCTCTTCTTTACCATTTATTCCTTGCTTATTGTTTCTTGGTCTTAGTAGGCCCACTAATTCTAAGTAAGTGTTGTTCAGGGTTTCCAAATCTGCTGTAAACGTGTATGTTAATGTCTCATTTTGTAAACTCTGATTTTCTTTATACCAGGAAACTGATAATATGTTTAATCATTAACCTGGTTACCCTTCTCCAAGATGATGATCTTTTAATTTATAAAGATAAATACATTAAATACATGTTGATATTCCATGGAAGGGCACAATGTGTATACCTCTAATACAGACCAGCCTGCAGCTGAGAGGTCAAAGGCCGATTATTAAGCAGCCAGCCTCTGTAGGGCTGAGCCTTGGCTAACTTTTACGAGGACCAAATTCTTTGCCACAGAAACTGAGACTTCATTTATGTCATTAATGGGACTAGTTTGGCCCACATAATTTGCTTTAATTTTAGAACTCTAAATGATTTAGCAAAAAAGTTGAACCACCACAACAGTGGACATTTAGACAAACAGAATATTATATACAGGGGGAAAAAATCATATTCCTACAGTTCTTCAGGGAGTCTGGTGGATAACTAGATGGCTTTGGTCTGCAGCACTGTACATCACCTGCTGTTCAGCTGAATTCAGTTAAAATTTGTGCACAAAAAAATTAAACTGGAAGAGTATGGGGAGGTGTGATTGTCTGGAAAGACCAAGACAAGCAGGGGTTGGCAAGGCCCACCAGTGACACGCAAGTCAACAGAACAGTTTCCTTTAGGGATTGGGCAGTAATGAAGGAAGCAATGTGAAGTAGTCTGACAAGTAAGATGAGGTTCTGCCTCAGGAGGAGAATAACAATAGAGGAAAGAAACTGAATTGCTACCAAGAGCAGTGCTTGCAGTAAGCAAAGTCACTCATTCATTCCTGCACAGTTTCAGTTGTTGTGCTGCAGAACTCAACACCAAAGAATTTTGCAACAAGTGGAGTGCCCTGAATTTGAAGGCAGTTATATAGTTATGTATTTATTTATTAAAACTGATATGTTTGTGTGTAAGGTAAGAGAATAGCAGACAACTGCATCTTATATGTCTGCTCAGTTCAAGGGACAACTCAGAGGAAGTCCAAGTTGAATGAGGCCACTTTATTCTTTAAATTAACACTTTTAATTAAAATCTATATAAAATTGTCTAAGCCAAGCTAGCCTGTGTAGATGTTTAAAACCAAGTGCTTCAGGTTAATGTTAAATATTGACACATTTAGAACAGTGCTACACAGCAGATGTTGTCCCAACATGTGATGGCAACATGACAGAGCAGAATGAATGAAGCGGAAGCAGCTCTGGAACACCCTGCTGTAGCATTCTCATTAACTCCTAATCCATAAGGCAGGAGAATAGCCCAACTGTACTGAGTACAATAGGGATAGTTGGCCTGATGTCTTTGGTGGTTTGGTTAGCATTCATACAAAAACTATTGAATTCAATTCCCTCTCTGTAGAACAAGGAAAAGGAGCTGCAGAAAAATGTGGCCTAATACAGGCACACAGACACTGGGGGCACTTCTGTCCCTTTGCTCAAATTGAGGAAAACACTGAATTTTAGCAAAAATAGTGTAATGGTTTTCAACACAATATTGCAAGGATACCTTCAAAGTCACCTATGTTCCTCATTAACACTTTTTTAAAAATTATTTTTCCATAGAAAACTATTTCTTTTAAGTAATTTTGTTTCTTCTACTTGAATGAAGACTTCAGGATTTAGAATTCTTAAATATGCTTTTCTCATTCCCTAAGGCCTTTCTACAGCATTGCTGCAGAGTCTGCACCCCACTATACAATTTCAAAATGCATGCTTGTGACAGACATATCAAACCATCCAGCTAGTTTAGAATTGAAGTGAGAGAGTGCTTTAAATGTAAATTTTACTATAAACAGCAGAATAAAATCTTGCATGAACTTCCTAGCTCTGCCAGGAAGCAAAGCTATATTTAACTAATTTTAAAATTCATCAAATACAGTCTATGCTCATTCAGATCTTTGGTGTGTCTTTGAAGAGAACATGTAGTGGAAGTGTCATACAGTCAGTTGTGGGATTCTGCACATTCTGAGATTCTTGTCAGTGAAGACATGCAGTTAGGACTGGATTGTAGAAGAAAAAGTTCACATAGATCTGACAACTTAATATTGATTCTTTATTTGAAGATTTGAACAATATCTGTTGCATTCAGTTCAAGAGCTTTCCGAGAAGTGTGTTACATAAAGAGAGTAGTGTCATACCAATGGTAAAATTCACATATACTCATCAATTTTAAAAAAGATTGTCTAATATTACTTGTGAGAGACAGTATTTTAGAGAAGCTTAGACAAAATATTGCTATAATAATAATTTGTAGAAGTTTCAAAATGCATAGAAAAGATCCCTGGATATTGAGATTAAGCCATAAGAGTTTAGCTAAGGATTCTGTGTACAAAAGGAGAAACTCCCAGGTATCTCTTCTTATTCCTTTATTTTTTTCCTGCCTCAGATTGCACCCCCCATTGCCTTTGTATCGCTGTAACCTCAACTGCTGTTATTGATAGTTAAATATGGACTGGAATAAACTTGTAACATTTCACGCCTAATTTATTTTAGGCATCATTAGATAAGAGCAATAAAATTCCAAAAGATTGTTTAGACTCATTTTGTATCTGTAAACATGATATATATGCTGCTATAGTGTCTCTTCTGTTGCTTTTTTTTGTAAGTAGGAGTCTCTCAATTTTAGAAGCTATGTGAATGATCTGAATCTTATCAGCAAGATGTTTGCTACTGCCTATGTTCAGATATGACCAGACTTTGAAGTTCAAGATTATGATTTTTAATAGCTAGATAATTCCTACCATTGCCTAAATTCCTTAATTTAAAGAAATAATAGCCTATACACTAACCAACAAACTCTGAACAGAAATTTGTAGCAGTGCCATGCTTCCAATATGGTTTTATGCATGTTGATTTTGGTTTTCTAACATTCATTTGCCTTTGATTTGTTCTAGTACATGACTGCTGCTGCACCTATGCAAGGGACCTACATCCCCCAGTACACTCCTGTGCCTCCAACAGCTGTCCCTATTGAAGTAAGTTTATGCCCATCCATGAAAATAGAATGAAGGGGAAGCAGAACTCTTATCTGTTATGCCTCCTTGCACTTGTTATTTGACAGAGACCTGAAGTTTATTTATGGAATGTTGGCTAGAAGCTTTCGGCTTTTAAAATTAGGACTGCACATTTCTTTCTCTTTTTTTCTTTTTATCTTTTTCCTTCTTTTTCTTCTCTTTTCTTCCCCTCCCTCCTTTTTTTCTTTTTTTTTTTAATATTTTTTATTATTATTATTTTTAATCATTTGCAAGGGCTCCTGTTTTGCATGGAATGCAAACTTCATGGAATAAAACTTCAGTGATTATGACTATTTTTTTTCCCCATGTACTTGGGAGGGAGATGGGAAGAGACAGGAAAACAAACCCATCAGGCAGACCACAAACCCAAAAGAGATTCCAAGAAAACAAGACTGCAAGAGGGTTTGGTGAGGTCCTTAGCAAGTATAGGTAATTGCTGAAACATTTAGCCACCAGAAAAAGTGATTGAGCAATGGAAACCTTCCTCTTGTATATACAGACATGGAGGATGCTGCACTGACTGAGTGCTTTTCATCCTTGAGGAAGGATTCGCTCCCTCCCTCCTTGGGGCTGAGTCATGCTGATGACAGTCTAATGAGTAAGTATTTACTCAACCCTGTAGACCACAGGCTGCCAGGAGAGGATCAGCTTGGCCTCCACTTCTGTGAAGCTTCATAAGGGTCACTGAGCACAGAGAAAGGAGGGACCCTTGGCATCCTCCTCCCTGTGTGCTTCTCTTTGGTACTATCCACTTTTAGTAATAACTTCTCCCTTACTTCGGGGTAATGGCGAGGAGTGCCGGGGACTCTGTACTTCTGTCTTCAGCTGTGTGGACTTTGGAGTTTGTGCTATCACTACTGTGTGCTCTGAGGATGCTGAATGAGAAGTACTGTTGGCATGACTCCACCAGAAGTCAAGTGTTCTCATCCTGATTTCTCATGGTACTTTGCAATTACTGAGATTCCCAAGTAAGGTCTCACAGGAAAGGCTGCTACATGTTTTAGTCTTTTTTTACCTCAGGATAGTTTTGCCCTAAAGCTTATTTGTTTACAAACAGCCCATGAGTGGCTCTTTTCAATTGTCATTCTTAGTGATTAAACCAGACAGATACAAAGCCAAATGAAAAGGAGACGCTGGGATGGAGAGTGGCTCAGACAGCAGTACTGGCTGAATACTGTGCTAACCAATATGAACCTTTATTCTTCCTGAGCCCTCCTCCCCATCACCTACTGGTGTATTAATGCCTACTAAAGTAACATGATGTTATAATTATCTACTATAATACTAAAATTTTATCTGAATGTATAGCCTGTCTTGCTCTCAGTGATGATGATTATTGTTAATGTTTATCTGTATTTATGTAGCATCACGAACCAGGACCCTACTACACTGGATGCTCTACAAGCAGAGACCAAATTACACAGTCTCTGCCCCAGAGAGTTTAAAATCTCAAGATGAGATGGGCAAAAGGAGGAGGATAAATACAAAGAAGTAGACAGAAAAAGATAATACTGACAGTCTGTTAAGCAACAGATATGAAGAATTTCTGAAAAATGAAACTGGTATTTTTAACAGAGAATTTAAAACAAACTACCTGTTGTTTACACAGAACTCAAATAGAAACAAAGCAAGTGCTTTGTGCTCCCTCTTCTGGCTCTGTTGTGTTCAGTACAGTAATAAAACATATTCCCTGAAGACACCTGCTAGTGTTATTCATGTGACCAGCACACCAAGCATGAGAGTAAATGAAAGAAAATATAGCTTGTTTAAAAACATACAAAAATACTTAAAAATAATACTATTCAGAGTGTAAATAGGATAAGAAGTAGTGCATAATTTTAAATTCATACATACAATCTTTTGTGTCTTTAGTGATCTATTTTTTTGATAATGTATAAATAAAACAAAACTTTATTGGAGCTTTGACTTAACAGATAAAAGTCTTCTGTGTGAAGTAAAGGTATTTTTGAAGGGAACATGCATAAGCCTAGTGACTAGAGGAGTAGAATATTTTTGTAAGGCAACTAAAATTCTGTTACATGTGTAGTAAAGGAGAAAGCGGTGGGTCTAGATTCTACCTTTCGTGCATTGCAATGTGAGCTCACTGTGAGGCTGGGGAAGGAAAGTGAAAATCAGAAGAGCCATGCATATGTTGCAAAAAAAGATAAGGTAAAATCCAGACTCCACTGAAGTCATAAGTTTTGACTCTGGCTTTGAATGGGCAGGGAACTGTGTTCAAAGGTGGAGGTATTTCCCATGACAGCCTGTAAGAACCAAGTACTATAGGGAAGCTTCTAAGCAAGTACTAAGGAAGCTTCTTGTTGCTGGATTAGCTCTCTAAGGCTGATGGAGCATGTGGTTCTGCTATCTCACACTTTCTCGATCTCTAGAGAGATGGTGCTCAGCTCTTGTTATGTAATTTACTGCAGTGAATAAAATTAGTAACTTCTTTGTGTTCTCATTTGATTCCCTAGGGTGTTGTTGCTGATACTTCTCCACAGACAGTAGCATCTTCATCACAGGAAGCCAGTGGTCAACAGCAACAGATGACAGTGGAAACATCCAGTGAACATGCGCCTGCATATTCTTACCAACAGTCTAAGTAAGTAGGCATACACTTTGTAACTAGAAGGTTTTGTTCCTTGGTTATAGGAGGCTGAATTATGCTCCCTATTTGAGCAATATACATTCAGAGTAGCTTCATTAAGTTCAGATGAATTCTGGATATATAGCAGTATAATTAGCACAAGGTTTTGGCTGTTGGCTTCACCTTGGCAACACGTCCTTGAGTTCCTGCCTGCAATGAAATTCCCTCTTAACTGCTGCTTTTCTGGAATCTGAAGGATCTCAACAACTACATTAACAATCATCATGCTGAGCTAAAGCAGTGTCTGGCATCAGAGGTTAAAAAAAGGGCTTAATTTTTGGCAGTGCTGAAAATACTGGCAGTGTACACATATGAATGTTTCTTTCTGAAAGTTTACCTAGTGAAGCAGTACAAATTGCCCCAAGTTGGTATTTGTGACTGGGCTGAAGTGGTGCTGTGCAGACACTGAGTAAGCAGAAACTGGCAATGAACAAAGACAGAACAAGAAAGGGATGGGGAGAAGCACTCTTTCTTTCTCCTGTCCTCTGCTCCTTTTTTTGCTTCCTATGGAATACCTTGGAAAATTCAAAATATATACAGTGAAAGCTAGAGCTAGAATTCCTAAAGAGCCCTTTCAATTTCAGAATAATCTTCAAACACTTCTTCTCTTGGACACGACAAAGCTGGTCCTCACAAAGGGAAGGTTACTTAGCGGCAGGTTTCTCACTAGGACTGATCAATATTGGACAGATTCTAGGAAGGAGCCCAAACCTACTCCTTGATTAATAAATGTATATTGAACACCAGCATCACTATGAAAAGAGAAATACACTTTTTTTTTTATCTCAGGGAAGGAAGCAGACAAGTAGTCAGACAAGAAATATGTTAGATATGTCAGTCAATGCATCATGTCATAGTACTTATGAAGTCATAAGATATGAGCTGGTATAGAAAACATTGTGTATTCCTTCTAGCCATCAGTCTCTCTAGTACCTGTAAGTAAATTATGACAAAATACTTAAAAAATATAAAGGGCAATGAGATAAGTATATGTGACTATACTGTCCTTTTGGCTTGTTTTAGTGACTGTGTTCTGTAGGAGGTCTAGGCCATTCCTCTGTTCCAGATCCCTTTCACTTAAGTCTGAAAGCAGAAGAACTTAGGTTCAGAAGCCCTCCTAAGGTAGCTGTGAGACGTGGACTCTAGCATTCTTCCCACACAGGAGGAAACTACATTGCAGTTCTTTATGGAAATGGGTGCTGTGTTTCTTGCCAGTGTGGTGAATTTCCACCCTCTGAGAATGAGATCCCTCATCTTTCCTTGTCAGCTACTGCGTTATTGCAATGATGGGTATACTTCTAATGGCACTGGCATTTATATTCAGAGAAATTTCTTTCTTTTTTAATCACACAAGCAGATCCACTACAGATTTGTTATTATGATTATCTCAGTTTTGGGGTTTTTTTCTGAAATATGCCCTCTATATCTGCTAGTTGTGGGCAGAGACGCAGTGTAGGAAGCTGCAGAAACAAACCAAAATATGCACCATCTCAGTGTTAAAGGAACAATTTATGCTGGAATATTTCAATAACCTTTATTACAAAAAACAAGTGAATTTCTTTTGTAACTAAAATAGAATTGTATTAACCTGGTCTTTGAAGGGCACATTTATTAATAGCAAGCATCATGCCCAATATACAACAGCTGTTTTCAAAGCAAGATAGGAGGAAGTAATTAATATGACCAAACAATTATTTTGTCAGAGAGAAAGAGAAAGGCAGACACTATAAAATTATTTCATAGAAGCTGATCAGTCAGGAGAAAAGCTATAACAGTGTATTTCATTATATTTATTTTCTTTGCAACAATCATGAAATTGCAGGCAACGAAGGAGAGGCAATGTACTCAGAATGAACTGGGTGGTATAAGGACTCTGTACTCTCTTTGTAAGTAAAAATAAACCACAAGATTTAAAATTTAAGTTCCACTTTTTAAATCAGCATACACCTTCTTTTATTTAATATGCTGACTGCTGTATTTGAGGATCCCACCCAAAGATGTTCAGAAATTTTCACTTCCTGTCCAAACCTGGCTACCTATTGTGTAGCAATATAGGAGAAACAGCCCTTGGTTTCTGAGCAGAGGACTCTATAAGGAAATCACCTTATTTAATTTAGACTTCCTTTTTTCCTTGCAAATCTTTAATTTTGCACTGAAAAGTGTGAAATCTATGAAGTGGAGATAAATTGAGATCCTTCCTCCTGAAAAGTCTACTCTTTTACTTCTGAGTAAAATTCTGCTGAACAACGTATTTAACCTCAATGCCAGGTTAGATTACAGAGTGTGCTGTCACTCTTTGTGGAATTGGTCTTTCACACATAGAGTGGCCACTAGACCCTGAGGGTCAGTAAAACCTCAGAAGGTGAATATCCAACTTGAGTGCTCCTACAAGAAGTTATGCATGGAAAACCATAAGAATATAATTAATTCTTGCTTTCCACGTAAATCTTTAGTTACATTCAAAATACTAATTTTCAGGCTTCACACAGTGAGAAAGTCTTTTGGTAAATTTGGTATTGAAAATTGGAGTTAGTTTTATGTTTACCATCCCAGAGAAATGGTTCTGTGGCAAATGTTATGTCACCAACATTCTTCACAATTTAACTCCTAATATTAAAATTAATTTAAAACTATGCCAGGCAAATGCGTTAATGCTTGCCATAGGAAAGGTGCTGGATTTTCTTGTGTTGAAATCTGGTTGGAAAAGGGATTTTTCCATGCAAGTTTTGAGGACTGTAGGAGAAGTGATAGCTAAACCCTTACAGATGAAACAGCTTTCAAACGTAGGTTCTGCATCTCCCCAAAGACCTCATATACTCTTGCAAAGATAAGTTTGATGTGACATATCTTTAAATGACATGAAACCTCCAAAACACAAAATGAGAGGTATCTTTGATAAGAAAGAGCTTGATAGTTTAGCTTGTTCACTGTGCTAAATTTAGAAAGATTTGACACTTTGTGATGAAAAGTTGTATTTTTCTGATTAATAATGCCTGTAGTATTCCTGTTAAGTTAGTCATAACTGTCACTGTTCTTGCCATCAGAAAATTAGTTCTTTTTAGCAAATTGGATATACCCTTTTGTTGTAGTTTTATCAGTTGTTTTATTAGTAGTATCCTAAATAAAAGCGCCACTTTATTATTATTATTATTATTGTTATTAATAAAATATTCACTCTTTTATTGTATTACTCTTTAAATCTTTATGCAGTACTCGTCTCATTTTAGTGTAGTTAGACTGCTCATAAAGCATAGAATTAACAAGAGCAAATTCATCTTAGGATGTGTTAACGTCCCCAAAGCAGGATTTCCCTGTTTCTACCTGACTATTTCCAGCTTAGTGGTAGTATCGTATTTAAACAGCTGCAAAGTTAGTTTACCTTGGATAACTTTTAAAGGGAATTGGGTGGAAAAAAAGCAGAGGAGCCTATTTCTAAGTTGTTTTGACTTAATGACCACTTTAATTCAATTGTTTTTACAGACAATAAACAGGACTGAAGAATGTCGGTCTGAAATCTTTGCCTTGAATGGAGAAACTTCACTGAACAAGAAGTTGGCTTCCAGTTTGCACAGGCGTCAAATGAATGCTTTTTTTTTTCTACCTTTCCCAACAAAAACAAAACAGTGTTTTTATGTGCTGTGCAAATGGTTCCGTCATGTAGTCTGACAATTTTATTTTTGCTGATTTTTTTTTGTTTTGTTTTTTACCTAAAGAAAAAAGCCCAGAGGAAAAACACTGGGTTAACATTTCATCTGGACGAACATTTGAATTCAGAATTTACCTGGAGGTGTAGCTAGATATTTTTTTTTTTTCTTATTTTTTTTTTTAAATGGAAAAACTGATGATGTCAAGAGGGAGCAAGTTGAGATGAAAACCAATTGTCTTCCTCAAAAAATTAAGCTACTCTTTTTCTCTCGTTTTCTTTTTCTTCTTGTTTTAAATCTAGAGTGGTCTTTTTGTTTTTTTGGGGTTTTTTTTTTGTTTGTTTTTTTAAAGAAATGTTTAGGTAAGGTTTATCTTGAATCTTAATTGCCTTAATTTTAAGGACGTCAAAGGCTCTCAAGGCAAGCTGTCAACGTCTTGTTAGAAAACCCGAGAATGAATTGAAACTGCTCACACCGGTGCTGGTGCAGAAGTTTAATAGACTGAGTTTTTGGGGTGAACAAAAAATAAACTGTACAGTTTAAAAGAAAATGATTTTCTTCTTTTGAAGAAAAGTTGATGATAAAGGAACTGTGGCAACTGAAAGGATTGGAAAAATGCTGGGACTTTTATGAACTTTGTCTGAAGTGTTGACAGAAAAAAAATTCTAGAAGGCTAAAGCATTTTACAGTAAAGTTATTGAATTGAGAAAAAAACTTGCTGCATTATAGAGAATGCAGGGGTTTTTTTTTTGCAGAATGCAGATTTTTTTATTTACAAAGCGTGATCGCTAGCAAAAGCATTAGTGCTTTTTATCTGCAGTCTTTTTTATGAGCTTTAAGAAGTTTTTAGTCTGCTTTGCTTGTCACATTGCAAAAACCTAGCTTAAGAGCATTAAAAAAAAACTTAAGTAGATAGGAGCTTATGGTCGAAAAAGTGCAAAAAAAAGCAATAGATAGAAGAAATTGTTGACAATTTCTGTAGTCTTTCCTAGTTGTGAACAAATGCAGCCTATGGATGGCCTATTTTATACCAAAGATGAAGTGACACCCTAACGCAGTCCAGAAGATAGAGGTTTTTTTTCTTTTTTTATCTTTATTTGACCTACATGGCCGGACCAGTTCTTACTTTCTTGTTTGTTTAAACTATCTTCCACTGGTGTTTTACATACTGCATATGTTTATAGTGGAAATCTCAGAATAGTTGGTATTAGAAGGCGGTTGATGGTGAGCTTTGGAGAAAAGCCCAAAGCAAGAGGGAGTGGGTTACCAACTAATCTGTCCAGGTGGGCTTTAATTTTTATGAGTTTTTCTGTTA